TGGCGCGGTGCCAAACCCGCCCCTTCATCCACAGCGAAGTAGAATGTATCTATCTTGGATATCTATCTTGCGTTTTGAGTGTACGCCAGCGTTTTAAGCGACTGCCCGCCAAAAGCTCACAACTGCGAAAACGCAGAAAAGCTCAAACCGTACGCTCAAGCTCGAACTATTTACGAGACTGCCGGCACAAGCGTATTAAGAAAATCTGTCCTCAACCATCGGAACCTTTGTGGAAAAAAATTTGCATCTAAGAATTTCCGAGCAAGTTCATTAATTACGCATGGACTTATTACAGTCTAGGTCGCTGCGGGCGAAGGGGCGTGTCACGTGGGATGAACTTGGCGCGGTGCCAAACCCATTCTCCACCAGTTGTTGAGGCGAGCAAGTGATAAGACTGTATAAGACTGTAATAATACCGTTCGTATCACTCCAATTGTTGTTGCATATCCGCTTCAGCAACTATTAGAGATTGCTGGCACTGCCTGGCACACCCCTATGTATAGCGAACAAAAGTGTACAACGCGAAATAAGGCAAACCTTACTCAAATGATGCATTGTCCGCATACAACGCACCATCCGTGTGATAGCGAAAAGATTATACAAGCTCAGAATCGAATATCCCTTGCTCGCCCAAATCCTCAATAAATATTCAGAAGGACTGCCACGATGAGTCGAGGAAAACTGACGGCAACCATCGACATCTTGTATTGTGATGTCCGGCATTTTGGTCGCTGAAACAATTCCTCTGAGGCACAAATGAAGATTTCTCGATAATGGAATGGAGGTCTTCAGTGGAGGAGAATGATTTCCTGGACTATCAGGGCTATATACAAGCATGCAACACAAGAAAAATCACCTAAATTGACCCATGTGTCGCCGCCATCAAGTATTCGGCTCAAATCACGCATCACTTCATACGGAAGAGTGTGGATGGGCGCATTCTCGTCATCATCAAACGAACAATTTTCCATTGGTTAGGCTATGCACCAAGTACTAAAATGCGACAGAGGAAATCCATGGTAGATAGGATAGCAGCTAAAGGGAAAATTTGCTTCGAAGATGATGATGTTTAGAGTTGTGATGATGCTGGAAAAGGTTTGCACGAATATTTCAAAAGACCACACCACGGAAAAGGAAGACGAGATCACGAAGGAAGATCAAATAAGACCAGCAGTACATCAAAGCACCATAACCTCCTTTCTTGAAGTTGGACAAAGTGTCTTACAATAGTTACTGATCTCAAAAGGTGTTCAACACTCAAAAAAAATTCAACTCCAATCACTTCGCATGCACTCTTTCTGCAAAAGGCATTGTTCACAGATTGCGACCCAGCGGTTGGGCGAAAAGCGAAAAATAGTCACCGATCGGATAATCGCCAACCGCTTGCTTCGCCGAACCGCCGCGGTTGGGCGGTTTGGCGAAACGCCCGTCGATACGTATCAAAACCCTTTCGCCCAACCCCAACTTCGCCCAGTCGATACGTATCGAAAGCTTTTCGCCGAACCGCCGCGTTTCAGAGAAACGCTGGACCGCAGACTGTGAACAATGCCGAAAAATTAGGATGACCGTAATCTAACGAACTACTGCACCAGAAGGGTGTGCATCGCGTCTCAGGGCACTTGTCAACCGGGAAGTCTCTCCTCTCTTTCATTTTTCTTCCTCCTCCTTCTTTTCCTTCCTTCCTTCTCTGATCCCTCCTCCTTTACCTTCTCCCTCAACTACTGGACTGGTAGATGCCTCGTGAAAATATCCCTGGACCCTCGCGGCGAGAGCACGTCTGGTTGACAACAGCCCCGTAACCGTGCAGTTGCATGAAACGTGCTCCATTCCGAGTGGAGGCGCTTCCTTTAATTTGTTCGATATTTGGATCGGGTTTTAACAAAATGTTTTTTCAGCGTTATTGTTTGCTTTCTTTGACTAGTTGTGTCTTTTGTCTCCGATGCTAACTGGAGCGTACTCGTTCGATAACCAGCTTATGGTCTACACCGAGGAACGAACGGGTCCGCACTCTCAATTGGCTCTGCTGCTTGACACATATGTAATTCTTCCGATGATTCCTTCTGTTCTTCAATTATCGACTCGGTGGATTGCAACCTCCTAAATTGACACCTTATTCATTTGAGGGAGGGCTCCGAATTCCCACGAGCAAACTTATTCAGCGAGCAATATGCAGTGTTTCAAGCCAACTTGCTTAGAATTTGTTTGCTACTTTGTGCGCCACACATCCTACAGGGGGTCGACAATGTGTTATGAGAGCAAAAAGCGAGAACACAACCTACAGCTACCTTCTTTTATTTGTGTGATCTCATGTACACTAAAACAGAGCTTGGAACGATATTGTCCGCTGAGTTCGTAATGCAGCAGCTAGTTTACCTGTATCATCTGTGCTCCGAGTTCGTCGAGCGGGTGCCAGTAACCATTCGTCGTGCTGGAATAGGTCAATGGGTTCTCTGCGCTCAACGGACTCGATGAACATCATACCATCGGCTCAGAGTTAAACCAAAAAATGTGACCATCCGATAGGAAGCGATGTTTAGGTGTTTGTTTGACATCCATTGGAAATGTGTAGTCGCTCTGGTCCAGCGGTCGTCTTCAAAGCGCATCATTGCCTGCCCTACTCGATCTTCGAAACCTTGGCAAATGCGGCGGCGTCTCTGATCTTCGATCGTCGGCGGAGTGAAGAGCTCCGGATTCCCTCTCTCACCTGCGTACAGCGAGAAACTCTGAGCATCGCCCTGTCGACTTCATGACTCGCTGATTGATATGTGTAACCCATAGGAAACATTGAGACATGTGATTATGACCCATAGGTAAATAGTTAGATACTCGATGCGTGACCTCTCCTGTATTGAGAGGCACGCCTAGATTAAGTTAGCATTCTACCACACCACCACCGAGACCACCCCGTCTCGGACTACCTAGAGACCACCCGTCTCAACTATATTGTATTCTATCGCAACCTCAACGAGACCACCCCGTCTCGTCAATAAAGCCGTACAGTCTACACAGTTTTCTCTTACACAATTGGAAAATGAACCTGGCAGGTATCAAGTTCGCTGCGAACAAAGGAGCGTGTCAGGCAGTATGAGTGTCATGGCGTCAAGCTCATCCCACCTGAAACGCCCGTTCGCCCAGCAAACTAGACAGTACGTTGAGTACAGTTGGAGCATGTGGGGTGTGTGGTCACTACTAGCCCCTATCAGTGAGTATGTTTTATGCAAACAGATTGTTGCATGCCTTAAAACGGCAAATGGCGGCTCGGTGTACGCCCAGGTTTGGCTCGTTTTGGTGATATCGTTATTTCCGCGGGGGCGATAAAGGGGTTTCACCCTAGGATTTTGCTAGCTTGCCGTAGCGCTGATTTAGTGGTACAGATCTTTGACTGTTCTGCTTGATTCGAGAAGCGATACTTGCACATCTGATTCACTCATTTGCTATAATTCTCCATTCAATTTATTTCAGAAGCTACATGTTGTTGGGGAACTCACGATCATTGTGCCGAACACTGGTTCCACGGCGAATCGCTCTTCGCCTAGCTTCATCCAACGAAAAAGTTCTTAAATCAGAAGATGAAACCACTGCATCCAGACTGAAACGAGGTCCAGAAGAAAAGGACATAACGTGAGTGTTCCCTAATGTTTTTTTACACACAGGTTGCATAGGTTGGTTGGAAACTGTCATATTCTTTCTAAAGATCATGATAGCCGACCTTAAGGTCTGCTAACCATCTCTTTGTGAAGGGGGAGGGGGTGTTCTGCGCCCATTTCACGACAGCCAAAGATGTTTGCCTTTGACTGTGGTGAGGCTTACAAAAGAGGTAACGTACATTTCCTGCAAATGTGTAAAGTGTCTGTAGAAATCTTCTTATATCTCAACAAAAACGTTGCCTTGAGGACCAGTGTACTGTAAATGAGTTGGTAACCTGTCCTGCTGTAACCTCTAGACACCGTTTGGGATCGCCACGTTGGCGTGGTGAGAGAACGATGTCCCTAAGGTGCCGAACGACCATCTCTCTTCCCACCTTCTTCACTGCCGTAGTAGTCCCTATATTAATCTTGCGTCCTCGGTGTCACCCGAAGACCAGCGCCAAGCAAAGCGAGCAGCGTGAAGCACCGCCGTGGGAAATCGTTGGCTTGGTAAGAACAAACCCAACAGGAAATATCCTCACGACTCCTCCCTACTAATAAGCTGTCAAGGTATTTGCCACTCTTCTACGGCCGCTTCGCCTGTTGTGGGAGTGGAGCGCTACATGGTTAAGGACAGTTCCCGCGATCAAGTTTTTCGCGAAATGCCTCCGTGCATTTCGTATCGCTGTCCAATTCGCAAAGATAATATCACTTTCGCCACGGATAAGCTGGAGACGCGTGATTATTGCAATCACTGCAGCCACGGTTCGTTTCACTCTGCAGACAACGGCTTACAAGCGGAATTGCGTGTACATAGCGTTGCCTGGAGCGTCGTAGGGTGATTTCCTGTGTTGCCAGGGAGTGGTTGCACGTCGAATCCTGCTGGATGGGCTTGCCGATTTCCCCCGAACTCGTCCAAGATGCTGGCTCCACTGCTGAGGGATGGAGGGTTCCCAAGATTTTTTCGTTTCATTCTCTACTAGGGCTACGGTTCATGGTTGAGCACCTCTACCCGGGATTGCGGGAACCATCTTCAAGTGGATTTCCCTCTGAGTTCTATTCTGAAAAAGTGTGTAACATCATCCGCGAACGACCTTTGGCCAAGCGGCCGGCACTATTCTTATTCTTAGCGAAAACTGTCACATAGATTGCGTGACAGTCTCCGTTCATAGGCGAAATTTTTGCAAAAGCGTTTTTAAATTCCAACGAGCTTAATTTCTTTCACACAAAACAGTAGTGAGGAACTGCACTTGTTTAAAGACCTGCAGATCTCCTCTTCTAAAAAAAAACTGTTTTCATGTTCTAGGTCTACTGTGTTAGAAGTTCGTACATCACGATTTTGCTCTGGAAGTTTGCTTCAGCTACGACCTGGAGGGTCCCTCCTCGACATTGCTTACATCTCCATAAAAAAAGCTTTCAGTACACCTTTTCTACTCTGGGTAGATAGCAGTTGAAGCATGGAGGCCCTCATCAACGCCTTTCATTCCGAATCGCAGCGACAGTTATAGAAATGGAATTTATAGAATATGAATCAACGTCCTCCCA